TTCCCCCTCCCCCCCCCCCCTCTCCCCCTTTATTAAAACTCAAAATTGAAATTACTTTCCTCCTTCAACAAAAAACTTGAAAATTTGGTTTTGGTTTATGTATCATCTTTAGGGAGTATAGGAAGAACAATGGATGAAAAACATGTGTGAAATTTGTAAAATGATGGATATTCATCTTATTCTTAGGCGTTCACGATGTCGTAGCTCTCAAAGTAAAAGAAAAGGCAAAAGAGGTTGTTGGCAAGCAAGACATCGAATGGTTAAGGCGTTACTGTTCTCATAGGAAATTAAGAGGTGACGAGAGAGTGGAGTGATTGAACGATCTCAAAGGAAAGGAAGAAGTAACAGGGTAATGGAACAACTAGGGCATCAAACAATCACGACAATGTTGTTCTCGAAGAAAAGGAAGAAGTGGTAGAAGAACTAGGGTAGAAGGAGTATAGCAACCAAGATGAACATGGTAAAGAAAAAGGAAACAAAGGAAGCAAAACAATCAAAATGATGAATACAAGAAAGGATACAGTGTGGAGTGTGCATGATTACAATGAAAGGAAAAGATTTATCCAACAAATATTAATTGTGGTCTACCATAAACATTTGAAGAGTCAAACTACCGTAGAACGCATCTATTTCTCTCTCTATATATATATATAAGCAAATGTTAGGTCTTGAATTAGGGGAACAAGAAAATTGTGTATACTAAAAGAGAAAGACTATAACTAAATAATAAAAATGCAATAATATTCATCCTGCCCAAGATGAGCTTGTTACATGTGATATAAATTGAAAACATATAATGATTTTATTATCTAAGTCTTACCCTTGGCAATATTTAGATATAGTCATTAAGCCACTTGGGTTGTTTACTCATTATTTTGGGTCTTATGGTAATTGGGCCCTTAATAATATAGGTGAGCTGAGAAGGAACCTTGTCCGCAAGGTCATTAGTTAGTAACGTGGTTGGGCTGATGAAGTAGCAATCCCACATATGAATGCATTTGTCAAAAATTGGGGTGGTGGGTTTAAAGAGGTGGATGGGACATACTTTCCACATGGTTGACAACAAGTGGAGGAAGGGTCAATGCTTTTAAAAGTTGTTGACAAAGGCTCATGAAGGAGAGTTTGAATCAACGATGGGATGTGTTTATAGAATATGTGCATCTGGCCCAATATATTATTAGGCCTAAAAAAACATATTTTATAGTGATGCTTTTTTAAAATTAATAATAATATTTTTATTAAAAAAATAAAAAATATTTTTGAGAAATGTCTTGAAAAAAATAATTATACTTGTATATATTTTAGAGCTAAACCTTTTAAAGTGAATTTTTAAAAATGAAAAAAGTGACTTTTAAATTATGGAACTTTGAAAAATTATATAATAAAAAAATATTTTTTTAGAAAGGGACCTAAAGTGAAAACTTTGTTTAAAATCCTGGTTGTGGAGATGGATGCACCAAGTGAAGTGACCATAAGAGAAATGAGATATGATCAAATGAGAATTTATGTTATACAACAACAATTGTTTGATGGGATAAGAGAGAGGTTTGATACGATGGTGGTGAATGAAAACTTGAAGAAATGTTTTGTGTTTGGAGTGAATTGAGACACTATGATAAACACTCTCATTATTTTTATCATTATATGTAATATTGCATATAATTATTTTATCTTTCACTTACTTTTATATATACACATATACACTTTAAAATTTAATGTGACAACCTTTTTATGTTTGGTTTTTATTCTGCTCTAAAAACTTTTATTCGTAAAACATCTAAAGTTTGTGCTTAAATAGCTTTGTAAGCAAATGTTCCATAAGAGAGGTACAACATTAAAATTGTTAGGTTTAGAACTGTCTAATTTAAATTATTATAAACATTGTGAATCAATTTATAAGTCTTTTAAGATGAATGTTAGTAATGAATCTTTCAAGAATGTTGGTAAAATCAAATTTTAAAAAATGGCAAAGAATATCAAAATAAAAGAAAAAATATCATTGAACTTCATTAGAAAGTTACTTTATTTGATAAAAAAAAACTAATTTATTGATTAAAATGTGGTTCAATTGATCAAAAAGTTAACATGTATGATCAAAAAGTTGAGACTAAGCCCTTCGTGTGAAAGATAATTCAAAAATATTTTGTGATTAGTCTTAAGAATTCAAAAGATAATGGATTATGACTACTGACTTTGAGACATTTAAAAGAACTAAATTTATTAAAATCCCAACTTGTAAATAATCAATAATGTTCCCTATGAAATATCAAAGTACATTCTAATTAAACTTGTTATAACAAGTTTGTTCTGCAAAGAAAAGAAACATGTGAAAGGAATTTCTTCTTAAAAAAAACATTATTTTTCAACCAAAAAGTGAATTCAAAAAAATATGATTGCACAAGCATTAAAATAATGTAATCCTACACATTAAAAAAGTTACTTGTATATGTGGTGATGTATGATTTTTTTGTACCGTGTCACACGTACAAGGAATTAACATTATTAATTTCAATTTAACAGAAAGAAAAAACACATTAGATATTGTTTTTAAAAAATAAAGTTACCAAATTGAAACATTAAAATAAAATGAGAGATTAAAAAAATAATTTAACCATAAATTTTCTAGTTGTTATCTTTCCGACTGTCTATCTTATTTCTTTGTTTTATGCTCAGGTTATTTTGTTACTTGTTGAGTACGATTTGTGTACTTATTTGAGACTTGTTTGTACTTTTGTTTTGATTGTAAAGTTTAATTGGCTAACTTGTACATGTAAAATTTACCTCTCTCATATTAAGAGAATTTTTCATGTTAAAAATCTTGATACCTTTCATTACTTGCATTATAATTCCTATCATATATTTATTATTAATCTTCATTTTTTTTACAAGTTTAAGGGATTTTTTTTATTTTATTTTATTATTGTGCTAGTATTCCCATGAAAATTAACATATTATTAGATAGAATTAAGGCAAAATCTACGATAAACTCACATAACAAGTGGTTCTCTAGTGAGTCAACAATGTAATACAATATTGTTGATGACTTAGAATTTTTACTAATAACCTAAATAGCTTAATAAATACAATGTTTTCAATATTACTAATGATTTCTTTGTTTGAGATACTTATTCCCCATTGAGATTTTAAAGATACTTTTTCATTCTACATCGATAGTTACAACCCTTCCAATAAAGTTATAAATTTTGACCTCTAAAGTTTATCTTGAGTCTCCATGTTCTACCCAACACGCCATGAAGATAAAACTATAAGAGAAAAATAATATAAAAAAAATGAAAAACATGTTTCTCAAAAAAACTAACTGGGGATTTCAATTCCCCATTGAACTAGGACATAATAAACTTAGAGTGTCGTTCATCGTTTCATCCCAATTTCATAGTTGCCCTCTCATATAGGACAAGCATACTAGTGGTTTATATGGTTTTGCATAAGATGAATAGGATTTGGTATTTTATTATATTTATTTATTTAATTAATTTAATGGAAGAAGAGAAATAGGTTAGGTTGACAGTTTAGTAGGCTTTTAAGAGAAGGAATAGACATAATTAGCCTATCTGCTTCATTTTGCATTCTGAAGGACTAAGAAAGATAAGGAAAAGAAACAGAGAGCTTTGAGGAGAAGTGCTCGGAATTGCCTTAAACTGCATTAAATTCTTCTGTCGACACAATAAGGTACGAAGGAGAAAAATGAGTAATTCATGTGTGGGATTACAAGAAAGAATAGGTAGTAGGAGAAATCCCTAAATTCCTATGATTTTCCTATTTCTTTTCTAAAGTTGAAATTGACAATCCAATTAGGTTCTATATTGAATTGTAAACGTGTTTATCGAATTATTTGGTAAATTTGATGATTTGATAGATAATTGAATTCATTAGAAGGTATCTGTGGGTTAGGGTTCTTGAGAAATTGGGATATTGTTAGTGGATATGTGATTTCATGAATTAATGTTGTATGATGTATTTTTGTGTGAAAATAAGTGTTTCTGGCTGATTAAATTAGTAAAAGAATGATTGTTTGATTGATCTTGAGTTTTTAGGATGTTCTATTCGTACTCGTTTTCTGGAAAACATGTTTGGCGTCGAGATTGAGTCCTTAGCGTTTGGCTTGCATTCATACCGATGAATGTGAAGCCAAAAAGTGGTTAAGCTGAACATGATTCCCTAGCATCGGGCGCAAGAGAGACCTGGTGCTCTCTGTTGGTTCTTAGCGCGAATGAAATTATAATTTCGTCAGGCGTAAAACTATATGTGTGCTCTTTGTTGTGGCTTAAAGTCGGGCGTAACTTGGTAAAGCTTGGTGCAATTATATGAATTTGCTATATGTATTGATGTGTTTGATGATGATTGTGGGTTGTATGATGTCCATAGATGACTATTGTATGCTTAAGTATGAATGGTGTGTGTCTGGATGAATTGATGTATGAATATGGTTAGATGTGGATTATTATTAATTATGCATTGGCATAGATAGAAAGGATGAAAGGATGAAAGTATGAGATAACATGATATAAGCATTGGTGCATGTTACATACATATTTCGAAGGAGTAGATATAAGAAAATATTGTTGCAACCATCATAACATTGGACACACGATTGAAAAGTTTTGGGCACTGCACGATAAAACCAAAGACTTGATATGAGTTGACCACCTCAATTTGTTTGTCCAACAAGATAACAATTGAGGGAATATGAGCCACTAGCAAAGTCAACACAGTCAACAACCACCCTTTCAAGTCATTAATTACCTCTCATCACATTCATTAATGATGACTTCAAAGGGATGGACCCCAACTAGAATGACCCCATGGTGATCATAGTGGAGATCACCAACTAGGATGTGTAGAAATTAAACATTTATTATGAAATAGCTTTTAGATTATTAAAAAAAAACTAATAGTTGATATTACGATTCAATTATAAACACAACCCTATTAGATCATTATTATCATCGTTTTCATGACTACAAACATAATCACCATTTACTGTCACCACCATCACTATCACTACCATTGTTAATGACGATGACAACGGTGGTGATGGTAGTAATAATAACGAATTTAGAAAATTGCGAATTTTAAAAACTTAGGAGACTAAAATAGATTATTTAAAAATTGGGAAACCAAAATTACATATTGGATATTATAGGAGAATCAAATATGCAATTTGGCCTAAAAAATGAACAGTGAGATTAAAACTCCATAAGATCATTACTATCATCTCCAAGACTACCATCATCACCGCCACTATATATTGTTATTATCATCTACCACCACTATTGTCGTTGTTGTCAACACTACAACCATTGTTATTGTCATCATCACCATTGTTGCTACCACCATTGTTGACATCATTATCATATCGCTGCTACCATCACCATCGTCATCAATGAGCAATCAAAAGAGAATATGATAATAGATTTTTAGATTTTCCTATTGTTTATTAGACTCGTTTTTATGCAATTTTCATTAAATTTTGTGACTCTTTTTTATTCGACATTAATAATTTTCATTTAGTTAAACTTAATGAAACAAGTTTCATATATTAAATCAATCAAGAAAAAATTCAAAATTGTGTTACAAAATTGATAGCAGTCACTATTTCAAAAGAACCAAATTGACTAAATTTTTAAAATAAAATACTAAAATAAAGTTTTGTAATAATAAAAGAGCAAAATAAATTTCATAAATAGACCATGAAAATAATTTAACTCTTCATATATTGAATCTTATTTTAATATAATTAATTGTTCTAGTTAAAGAAAAATACTTAAATTAATTAATTGTTATCTCTAGAAAAGAAAAAGAAAAAAAGAAGAAAAAAAAAGCTCACACTCTCCTCAAAATATAGCTCCCACGTACATATTTTCATATTAACTATTATTTATTCAGAGAATTTGTTACAGAAATTAAACTTCTTAAGATATGACGGAATGAAGAAAATTCAACTCCTATAAATGTTCTGGTTCAACCATGCGCGACATATTCTATAATCCACTCTCTTAAATGTAACTAAGCGGAACCACACGTGAAAATTGCGTAATAGGTAACAAGTTATTAAGATTTGCATTGGTATGACAAATTCCGTTACTGGTTAAATGGAACGAAAAACAATCACTGAATCACATAGGCAGTGGGAAAACTCCGGTGCATAAGCACACATAATAAGAAAAGTTTGGACACTTTGGTTTGGTTGGGTTTCTTCCCCCAAAACGCATCGTCGTGAACCAAAACAATGGAAGGAGAATCGGAGAGTGGCAAGCGAAGGAAGGGTTGCACGTTTTGGAAAAATGACTTCCTCCCGGAGGAGTCGTTTAAGAGTTGGGGGAACTACATGAGGGCGCTGAGGGAGACGCCGTGGAGGCTGAAGGATCGGCTGGTGGCGCGGTCGAGTGAGGAGGCGGAGGTGGTGGGGATGAAGGCGCGTAGCAGCCACCAGATGAAGAAGACGCTCAACTGGTGGGACCTCACGTGGTTCGGGATCGGAGCCGTCATCGGCGCCGGAATATTCGTTCTCACCGGCGTCGAGGCCAGGGAGGTCGCCGGCCCCGCGGTCGTCTTGTCCTACGTCGTCTCTGGTATCTCTGCCTTGCTATCAGTTTTCTGTTACACCGAGTTTGCCGTTGAAATTCCCGTCGCAGGTATTGCTCCTCACTCTTTGCTTATTAACTCCATTTTCTTTATTATCAATTTTAACCATACGAAGATAAGATAAATAATATAAACATATTTTTTATCATACTTTTTTAAACAAAAAATTATTACGTAGTTCATAACCACTTCGTTGACATGCATTTGAATTTTATAATTTACAAAAGAATAATAATAATATCTAATTGCATATCATATAAAGATATATAGTGGTCAAGTATCATCTAATAATTTTTTCTTTTAAATATTTTTTCTTTAATTGATTGAAAACACTAAAATTAGTAAGTCCCACATCTACTTAATGAATATCTCTCATAAATTTATAGTTTTTAATAAATCTTAACCTATAAAAATGAGTGTATATTAAGAGAAATATATTAGATAGTATATTGTTAATACTCATGGTTCTTGTGAAAACAAACACTATTTAAAAAAAAAATTGTGTGTCAATATAATATAAAATAAAAACACTCATCATGTGCATTTGTTAATCTGAGTATTAATTTAAATAAAAATTCAACTTAACACTTACAAACCATTAAAAAAAAGGTTGAAATGAAGCTAGCTAATAAATGTGACACACTTCCAACATCAATTTAGTTGATAACATATATACAACTTAAGGATTCGTTTGATTGATGAAATATACATTTTAAGACTTTAGGCATAATTCTATGTAACACATTGATATAATAAGGTTTAATATATTAATTAAAAGTTAAAATATTAAAATTTAATTTTAATATATAAAAATAGGTTTACGATTATTCTCTATAAATTAAACTTACCAGTAGTAGTAGTATATAGTTGACTTTGTAATATATGCCATATGTGAAATAATATCATGAATTTGATAGCAACTTCACATTTTTCTTCAGGTGGGTCGTTCGCGTACTTAAGAGTGGAGCTAGGAGACTTCGTAGCCTTCATAGCCGCGGGGAACATCCTTCTAGAATACGTAGTAAGTTGCGCCGCCGTGGCACGGTCATGGACCTCCTACTTCGCCACCCTCTGCAACAGAAACCCCGACGATTTCCGCGTGGTGCTACGCAACACCAGCCCCGACTACGGCCACCTCGACCCCGTCGCCGTCGTCATCCTCGCCGTCATATGCATCCTCGCCGTCTACAGCACGAAAGGCTCCTCCGTCTTCAACTACATCGCCTCCGTCGTCCACGTCATCATCCTCGTCTTCATCGTCATCGCCGGCCTCCTCCACGCCAACCCCCAAAACTACAAACCCTTCGCCCCCTTCGGCGCCCGAGGCATGTTCCAAGCCTCCGCGGTGCTTTACTTCGCCTACGTGGGTTTCGACGCCGTCGCCACCATGGCCGAGGAGACCAAAAACCCCTCCAGGGACATTCCCATCGGCCTCGTCGCTTCCATGTTGATCACAACGGCGTCGTATTGCTTGCTCGCGGCCACGCTGTGCCTCATGCAACCGTTCAACGCCATCGACGTCAACGCGCCGTACTCGGTTGCGTTTAGCGCCGTGGGCTGGGATTGGGCCAAGTACATCGTGGCGTTGGGCGCTCTGAAGGGAATGACCACGGTGCTGTTAGTCAGCGCTGTGGGCCAGGCCCGTTACTTGACCCACATCGCGCGGACCCACATGATGCCTCCTTGGTTTGCCATCGTCGATGAGCACACCGGGACGCCGGTGAATGCTACTATTGCTATGGTCGTGGCTTCTGCCGCTATTGCTTTCTTCACGGACCTTCAGATTTTGTCTAACCTTTTGTCTATTTCCACTCTCTTTATCTTCATCCTTGTGGCGGTTGCGCTTCTCGTGCGAAGGTACTACTCTAGTGGGGTCACCACCAAGGGGAACCAAATCAAGCTCGTCTTGTTCGTTCTGTTGATCGTTCTCTCCTCGTGTGGGATTTCGTGTTTTTGGGCTCTTGATGGTTGGTGGGTTGGGTATGCTGTATTTGGGCCCCTTTGGGCTTTGGCTACCGGTGGGCTTTGGCTTCTTGTTCCAATGGTGAAGCAGCCCAAGCTTTGGGGGGTGCCGTTAGTTCCGTGGCTGCCTTCTATATCTATTTTTATTAACATTTTCCTTCTTGGGTCTATCGATAAGGATTCGTTTGTTAGGTTTGTTATTTGGACGGTGTTTCTATTGGTTTACTATGTCCTCTTCGGGTTGCATGCTTCTTATGATACGGCTAAGGAGTTTGAGATTGAGGCACAGAGTAGTAAGGAGTTGAACAAGATGGAGAATGGGGTAGTGTCTTCTACCTAGGTTTTAGCTTGTTCATATCATACATGGAACAAATGTACAAGGCTTTTGAAAAGTTAATTGTAAATTTTCTTCTTCAAAATGAATATATGAGCATGAATATGTGTGGATTCCATGGAATTCATATACAAAGGTTTTCTTGACTTTATGTTAGAATTTAGTATACGGATTGACCCGTCTGTTGATGCTCGTTTCATATAAGTTTGCAAGTTAATGGGTTAGTCGTGGGCTAACAAGTTTGTTTGTGGCTTAAAAGACTAAAATCTACTGCCTAAATTGAATGTGTTCAAATTTATGTCACGCGTTAATCCAATTTGAACCTTTGTAATAAACTAATTAAATTGTGAAATATAGTAATATTACTCCACTAAAATTAAGTAATTTCAAAGTATTCCAATGTGGTCATCAAGATAATGTAATGTTATCATACACATTTATGAAATAACATGCAACATACACTTGAGTATTCTTTTCGGTGGAATACATGTTGACATATAATAACAAAAATATTTGTTGACACTTGGTCAAGTTTTTTAAAAAATATTTGATGTAAAAAGTTTGCAGGCCAAGCCACGTGCTCACGTTTAAATACGTGTAAATCACAAGCTAAATAGTTTGGGCCAAAAAATAACCCACAAATGGACTACCAATTTTGGGACCATAGCCCGTGTGGGTTGTTTGTTAAACCAACAGCCGGAAAACTCCAATCTAAGTAGTAAACACCCAACTCTGCATATAATTATTATTTTTGTACATTTATTTTTTCTTTAATTTATCTTATTTTCATTTTATTTTCTATCTTTTCTATTACATCGTATGTAACATTTATCACACCTTCCCTGTATTTTTTTTTTGCTTTAGTTCTCTCTTTCTTCCACCCAAATCCAACCTAAAAAAGGGTGGACTATCATATTTTTATTTTATTGACTCAAGTGTTTGTTCGTTAGGAACTACAGAAATAAGAAAGAACTGAAGGGGATAGAAGGAAAACAATTAAAGAACAAATGCTTCCACCGTTTGATAATCTATCGAGAAGCAAGAGAAAAAAAAAAGGTAAATCACTAAATTTGTAATCTGTCCACTTTGGATAAGGAGAGAAAGTTGTTTTAGTGAAATTAAAATATCAAGTTATCTTTACACATTTTTTATTAAGACTATTTATATTATTTTATTTACGTATTTTTTCTTCCTTCTACTTTTTACTCAATAAGAAAAAAATTTAATTTTCTTTCGTATTAAATAACCTAAAACTCATTTCATTTTTACTCATATTTCTCCCTTTTCATATTTCTTTATTTTCTTTTCATTGTTTTCTCTCCTATTATTGTTTTTAAATCAAATAATTAATAAAAGTGTGGCAAGGAAAAAATTCCACCGGCGAGTATATTCGAAAAATAATGGGTAGCAAACTGACCAAAATTCTAGAAACCTCTATCAAATACGTGGAAGGAGTGGAAATGTGGTAGGTGAAAATAAAAAGAGAAATTAGAGTAAATAGAAATAGAAGATAAGTTTTTTAAAAAAAATTATGGAGCACTGATGTTAATTTTTTTTTTATATATACTAAAATGTTAACAAGAGAAAAAAAGAAAGATAAAGGGAAAATAAACTATTCCCGTAATACGGGGAGACTCATGGCATCAGCAAAGAACTGGGCTTCTAACACAGTCGGATGATCTTTGAGCTCCAAAAGCGTAATTTCATAATTAGGCCCCATTTTAGCAAGCATGTCTGCACAAATATTTCCTTCCCTTTAATAATGGATTAGATTAGGAGTTCATGATTTGGCCATTAATTCTTTAATATGACAAAGGAACCCGCATACTTGTGAGTATGTTGAATTGGTTGTTGACTAAGTTCAAAGCCATTTTTGAATCTGAAACCAAGAGAACAGAGAGATACCTTATATTCTAACATAATTGAAGACTATGTAAAATAGCTAACAATTCAGTTTTAAGGTTAGTAGCCATTCCAATATCTCCCTTAAATCCTCACAACCAATTACCATTAGAATTTCGAACTAAACCTCCAAAACCTGCAGGTCCTGGATTTCCAAGAGAGCTTCGGTCAACATGAGCACTTACTTGAGGACCCTCTGCTAGCACACATGAAACCCACTCGAGGACTTCACATGTTGGTGTCGCCTCCGTACAAGGTGCAAAGCTAGTTTGCATGATTGTATATAGCTCACGAATCTATCAAATTTGACTCCACGGCTTCCCACCAAGTCCGTTAAACACATGAATTTTATATAGTATTTTTTAACTAAAAAATTATCTTTCAATTATACTAGCAGAGCTGAGTCACTTCGTGTCTCTATATATATTTTATCTTAAGATAAAAATTAATTCATCTATTAGTATAAATAATTTATATTAATATATTCACTTCTAGTTTATAACTTTATTTTTATATTTATTAATTTTAAAAAAAATTTAAAAGGGAAATTAAAAGAAAATAAATTTTTAAAATAATGAATGAACATAACTTTAGTTTAGTTTTTAAGAAATTTGACTAAACTTATTTTATTTTAAATAATTTTATAAACATAATTTCATTGAAAAGTAATAGACTACATTTAAGATATAAGTTTAATTTCACTCTAGTATGGTCATTATATTATTTGAATAACATAAATCAAGTTTTATGTTTCATGTTTTAATTGTAATATTATTATGCATAAGATTTACCGAAATAAGATTAAATATTTATAAATATATTAAAATTTTAAAATATACTAAAAAATAAGTTTTTAAAAATCTAAAAAAATAAAATCTAAAATCAGACATGTGACACCCTTACTATCCCAACACATATATAAATATAATCATATAAATAAACTAAAGAATAAAATTTTTAACGTTGGTAAAAGGGTTCACATAAAACCTTCATATTCATTTATCAATAACCAACATAATAATTGAAAATAAAACTTGAAAGTTTACAAATTGTTTTCAAAATCATATTTACAATTCCAAATCCATATAAAATCTATGTCCTAAAAATCCTCTGCCCCGATGTCACAATATCAGAGCATACCCACAATTCAACTGTTGGCATTCTAGATGTCACTCGTAACCGGATCTTCCTCACCTAAAACATCCACAATTTATACGGTGAGAAAAGAAAATATCTACATGCAAAGTACATACAACCACATCATAATGAAATCATAATTCATATATATACAAGCATGTATCATAATTTATCAATCCATCACAATCCACACAATTTTACGATTAACAATATCATTTCCACATCCATAATTCAAGCCAATCTTACAATTAACACTATGCCAAGACCTCGCCACATCTGACACAAGTGATACGGGTTAATTGCCTCACTCAACCCACACCATACTAGGGTTCGTATCATCCCTGATCATCCAGGAGTACGCTCGTCCCTGAAGCATCACCTACCCAGGGTTCGTATCATCCCTGATCATTCAGGAGTACGCTCGTCCCTGAAGCATGAGTGTGAGGAACCACAATCACATTACAATCCATACAGTCTCTTGCAATTAACCCTATGCCAGGGCTGCCATAATCGACATAAGTGGTGTGTGTTAACTGTCTTACTCATCCCACACCATGCTAGGGTCACGCCCTCCCTGTAGCACCACTTACCCAGGGGCCGTGCCATCCCTAGTCATTAGTGTGAGGAAACACATCGCAATCACATTCTTAATCATGTCCATACAACATCTCATCTCATATCACGATTTCATATCACATACACAATTCCATATCACATACTCAACAGATAAGTCTAACAAAATAAGGGTTTACACATCCCTCAAGCAATTCACATCTAGATCATCAATTCTTATTAAATAATATAATAATAACATTCATAAATTAATATAATAAACAATAGAATTATCAATTTAATATAATTTTAACATAAATAGTAAAATCCCCAATTGTCCCAAAACCTAGCTCACAGGCACTTTTCTACAATTTCGTTCTCTTTCCCAGATCATCATTCTTACAAATTATTAGCATATTTATAATCCTCAACACATACAGAATCTAATGAGATCCTCAATTCCTCAAACAGAAATCATCCAATTTTCACAACTTAACTTACAGACACTTTTCTATAATTTCGTTCTCTCTCCCAGAGCATCATTTTTACAAATTAAACATATATTCGTAGTCCTAAATATATATAGAATCACATAAGACAATTAATTCTCCAAACAGAAATAATTATAAAATTATTCATAACCCTAAGGGCTTTTCCTCTACCCAATTCCCTTATGTAACCCTACATATAAATAATCTCCTTTTCCCCCGTACCTAGATAAATAGGAACTAGGGCATAACCTCCTCCTTTCTTTCCTTAAATAAGGACCGGGACTAAAACTGGGGCAGAACCTCATCCTCTGAGTTCCTCTTGGTCTTCAGAGAGAAGAGGAAAAAAGAGCATAAGAGAGAAGGCGTGTCAAAATGAGAGAAATGAGGGCCTATTTATAGGAATTCTGGCTCACCTACCGGAACGGCCTGTACTGAAAGCGGAACGACCCGTTCCGGACCCTTCAAGTATACACAAAATTTTCCACTGGAACGGCCCGTTCCAACAAAAATATTTTAAGCATTTTTCTTATTCCGGAACGGCCCGTTTCACTTTGGGAACGGCCCGTTCTGGAACAACCCAAATAAGCAAATTTTCTACTTTGGAACGGCCTGTTCTGCTACTTAAAAATGGGTTCATTTTCATCATTTGGAACGGCCCGTTCTGGGCAATCAAACATAGGTATATTTAGTCATTTGGAACGGCCCGTTCCAATTTTGGAACGGCCTGTTCCGGGCTACTGATCCACCTTAATTGGGCCCTTGGCCCAGTGAAAATTAGGCTGTTACAAGACATATCTTAAATTTGAATTTTAAAAAAAATGGAGTAAACTTAATTTCATTAAAAAAAAAAACTAAACTTGAGAAACACATTTAATTTATTATTTGCCTAACACATATGCAGTTTTCAATTTAAGATAATATTAAAAAATGAGTAAGCATAATTTAATTGAAAAAATTGAATAAACTTAATTTATTGTAAAAATAAACTTTTTGAAATTTTAAAAGAGATCTCA